GTCCACAGTGAGTGAGGGTGATGTCAGACCACGTGGTACTTCAGGGGACTGAAGAATGAAGAGCTTTTAAGAGGCAGCATTAATTTGCTCAAACAATAAGCATATTGTCTCTTCTTCACTGCTGCTCAGATAACCCCTCCGGCTACCCTTTACAGCAGGGTTCCCATAGCAAACACCCTCCTCTTAGTCCATCTCTCCTTTCTCACACGGTTGTTTTATCATTTTTCCCCTTGATACATATTGAGAGAGGAAAAAAAGCCACTGATCATTTCCCAGGATTAGGTGGTGAGCACCTAGAAGTTTCTAGGAAAAGCTGAAAATATCACCTTATAATTTATTGGTTTGTACACTAAAGAAGAGTCCATAGGCCCTATTGAGGGACTGATTGTACTGGGTGTTGTATAAACACATGCTTTCTTGTAAAGTATCCATGGCACGTTACAGGACAGAAAAATACAAATCTTAGCACCGATTAGCTTGCGCAATAAAGCCTGCCGCATAACCACAAAGAACCCACTACAGACTCAAGACTTACAGTCAGAAGCAACATGAGCGATAGGTGATGAGCCCATGAGAGGCCAAAGGAAGGTTGCCACAGGTTAAGTTGTGGTATTCCTTGTGGGATGTACATTGTATGAGGCTCTTGTGTGTCATGATTTCATTTCCTGACTCTTGGTACTGCATGTGGCTCAGCCCTGCTGTCCCTGGATGTTATTTGTGCACCAGATGCTGCCGACATGGACGGTTGGGCAGATGAAATCCCTGAGTGCAGGTAAGCCCCATGCATGACCCTAGGTTCCTCTTCCTCCTTATACAGCCATCAAGGGAGGAGTGAGTGAGTCCCAGGCAGGATGAATCAGTGTCCCTGTCCAGTTACAAGGTAAACTCTGAGGCACTGAGTATGATCAAGAGTGATTACCTCAAGATAGTTACACCAACATAGGAGTCTCTAGTCTACTAAGGCCTTTGAGGCTGAACTGGAACCAGAGGTACCAGCTCTCAAGGGGGCTGGGGCCCTTCAATAGCCCCAAGTCCAGAAGTCCCATGATTAGGAAACTGAGATGTTGTTACCAACATGACATTAAAAAGGCCGTAGAGCAGTTTTTAAACTAAGAGATGGAGGAAAGCCGATTGGTGCGGAGATGCACGTAAATTGGATGGAGACTTCTCTTAGAGGAGAATCCATTGATAGAGATTCTCTAAGCTGTAGTCAGAAAGAGAGGAGGGGAGAGGACAAACCATGGGCCAGAGCAGACAAACAACCGCATATAAAGGAATCCAATGCATCAGGGAAGGGCAGACAAATAAGCAGTGGCAAATTTTTAAAGTGCTTTTACACAAATGCTAGGAGTCTGACTAATAAGATGAGTGATCTACTGTACCTTATATTAAAGGAGGAGATTGACATAATAGGCATCAATGAAACCTGGTGGAATGAGGAAAATCTGTGGAACACAATCATGCCGGGATATAAAATATATCGAAAGGATAGAGCAGGCCGGGTGGGTGGCGGAGTGGCACTGTATGTGAAAGATGATGTAGAATCAAATGA